GACGAGAGGCTCAGCCAACGTTCCATCAGATTTGTGTCAGTCACACAGAGAAAGCTTTACAGGGTATTCAGGTGCGTTCGGAAGGCCTTTGTAGGCGAGATTTTCGGTGTCGTTTTCCAGGCCACAAGCTTGAAAATGTTCACGGCTCACAGTGCTGTACCTGCAGCCTGTGTCAAAGATGAACGCTGTGAGATCATTGACAATATTATTATTATTTTTATTACTACTACTACTATTATTACTACTATTATTCTTATCATCATCATTATCAATACTATGGGTACCCGTAGAAATTCCAGGTAACAAAATAAAAGATAACAGGCACATTTCTCCTCTCTCATCCTCTCTCTACATCTCGCATCCTCTCTCCCTTTTCCTTCCCCTTTCCCTCTCCCTTTCCTTTTCCCCTCTCCCTTTCCTTTTCCCGCTCTGCCACTCCCACTCACCCCGAAATCTTCCTTAAATGTACCCCCCCCTCCTACTTAAAACCCAACATCATGCTCCTTTTCTCTCTAAGCCCCATCCCCCCCTTTCCCCTTACTTATCAACCTTTCCTCTTTACGTACCCTCCGTTTCTCCTTCCCTATCTCCCTTTTCTCTTTGAGCACCTCACCCTCCTTCCCCATCCCTTCCTTTTCTCATTAAGCTACTTTCCCCTTCCTTTCTCCTTTTCCTTCCTTCTTTGTTCCTTTCTCCTCCTCCCTTTCCCCTTCCCCTCCTACCACCCTTCTCAGGCACCCCTTGGGCTGACGTGGAAATAATAGAGATAGAAATAATAGGCGGTTTAACTACTTCAGTGCAGTGGAGATGCATAAATTGGCGGTCTAACTACTTCAGTGCAGTGTACTTGCCTCGAAGAAGGATGATAATAACAATGAAAAATAATGATAATCGTAATGACAATAATGTTGATGATAATGGTAATAACAGTGTTAGGATAGGGTTCTAAAGGATTAGCAATATCATGCCTTTATGTGTGTGTGTGTGCGCTCGCATGTGTGTTTGTGTGCAAAACATATAGGAATGCTCTTAAATGACGTACCTGACTACCAGCGATGCAACTCGAGCCTAACAGAATGTGTCCTTCCTTAGCCGCCAAAGAATTGGTCGTTTCAGAACGGTAGTCTTCATGAAGCGACAGTTGCATTCCTCTCTCTTTAGATTAGGACATATTACGTTACTTGGCTTTCCCCTTCTTTAAAAAGAGAGATTTTACGTCACCCGGCCTTTTCTCTTTAAAAAGGGAGATACTATTACGTCACTTGCAAAAATGGAAATAGTGCGGCACCTGGTCTTCTCTCTACGTCACTTGGCCCATTTGAAATGGGCTTAGTTACGTCACTTGGCTCTCTCTCTCTTTCAAATGGGAGATTCTATCCCTCGTCTTTGGTCAAGTTACAGGGAGGGGAAGAGGGAGGAACTAGAGGTGGAAGAACCAAGATGCCTTTAGCACATTAATGTGTTTCCTTGTTCTTCCCTTTGCTGTTTTATTTGCAATTTGTTCAACATGAATTCTGCGCACACACAAAGAAACACACAAACAAACAAACACATGCACGCACTCACGCACGCACACACACACACACACACACACACACACACACACACACACACACACACACACACACACACACACACGCACACACACACACAAACACACACACATACACACACATACACACACACACACACACACACGTATATATACACATACATATACATATACATACATACACACAAACATGTATATATCTGTGTGTGCGTGCATTCATATATACACAATATCACCCAGAAATAATGACATACCGTGTGTCTTTTTCATCACATTCTGATAAAAAGGTGAAGGCTTACTCATCTTGCTGGACGGCATAAGTTTTCTCCTTCATAAACCATGTTAATGTCCCGGAATAGTTTTTTTTTTTTATATGACAAGGACATAGAGTAGACATGATTAATGAAACGTCGTGGAAATTATTCAGAAAATGTGTTCATATGAATAATGCTAAGCAACGATCTTCTTATTGATTAAGCTTCATATCTTCCTCTGTTATTTTCTATATATATCGTTTATGGAAATACTTACATATTCTGTTTATTTGATTCATTGTAGCACGGTTTTATATTATTTAATGACTGAGTAAGTAAATATATGACGTAGGGTCATATATATTTTTTTTAATCTGTCACATGGACAGAGAATCATGGCTTTCTGACTGATGACTGATTATACAGAACAAAACACTGTGTTTATAAGGAAAGATGAAAGAACTATTTCGAAATCGTCATGAATATCATCTCCTTGCTCAGACCCAAAGTGAGAAAACCTATTTGCTGTATATGTAAACGAAGTGTTTGATAATACATGTTGCATTAGAAAATCAGATAACAGTACTTGTCATGCATTTCTTCGCTCACTTTCACCGGCGTGCCCAGTAGTTGATTAATATATACAACTCAATTTCACCGAATGAGGCACTAAAAACGACGAAAGGAAGAAAAAAAATATACGAATATGCTTACATTAATTTCGATACATCATTTCATCAGTGCATAATGAACAAGAGATACAACACGTGTATAGAGGTGTATATATACACATGTACTGTCAGCCCATGTAAGGGATTAAATATGGGACGACC